ATAGAACCAATGCAATTTCAAGTGGCTACAAGAGAGTTCCGGAGAGCTCAGAAGAGGGGCTGGTGTATATATAAGATACCTAACTGTGGTGATTGTAGAAGGGAACTGCTAGAGTTGGGTTTGAGGGCAAAGCTGCAGAATTAGGCTTTGAAGTGACATACTGAACCAGGCCAGGAGCAGAAAACAGGTGCCAGGTTCTGGTGCAGAATGGTGAACAGGTTGACCTTGTTGAGTAGGCCACCTCAACATTAGAGCCCAGAGCACAATCTGAAAGGCATCATATGATGGGTGGACGTGGTGTCAGGTCTGAAAGGTTCAGGCATTACGCTGGCCTGCCCTGTTAACTGGCAAGATGCACTCAGGCAACACTCTTGCCAGCCCAGAGTTCTGTGAGAACCATGCAGGTACAAAGGACCCCTTTAAAGGACTGACCCCTGCCTGCTTACACTCTCTTTTATTCTCTTACTCTCGTCTTCCTCTCCATCTCATCTTCTCTCTTACTCTCATTTCTCTCTCTCTCAGCTCTACATAATTACCTCTCACCCCCCTTTCCCTCCCTGTCTACCATTAAACTCCATGTGGGATAGTTGAGTCATGGTTTTTGTCTCGTTACTGGATAAACCTAAGCATTTTAACAACATTGGTTCCCTGACCGGGAACCTAAACATTTTAACAACAAGGTCCTCTCAGTGTTAGGTGTGCATTGCTCTGTGCACACCTAACACAGGCAAGGGAGTTAAACTGTTTCTTTGTTCAATGTGTTGGTTAAGTTCCTGAGTATGGTTTTCTAGGCATGATTTTAATACACCTATGATCCTCGCCTGCCCTGGCCAGCAGGGCACAATGGGATTCGAGCCCATGGGAACCTGGGTTGAATGAGACAAGAAACATGAGAGAGATGGGCAGCAGGACAACATGGATGATCAAACTGCAATTAATGAAAGTTCTGTACAGGCTTAAATAGGGGAAATGAGGTAGGGGGATGCAGGACAATAAGGGAGGGGTCGTTGCCTAGTAATCAGGCCGAGGAGTGTTCTTGGTCATGTACCAAGAAGTGTGTTTTTGGTCATGTACTGAGGGGTGCTGGCAGACCACCAATGAGGCTGAGTAGCAGAAATGAAGATAAGAGGTGTTAGTGCTAGGTAACCTAATTGCAAGGAGGAAGGTTGAGTAACCTAACTGTAGATTGCTATCAGCTATTCTTGTGAGCCCAGGTTCTATTCATTAGGAAGCTGGGGAGCAGACAGACTATTCTTAAAAAAGACTGACAAGAGGTTCTAAATAACAAAGATCACACCCAATGCACTGCAGTGTCAATTTTTCCCATCTAACCTGTATGGTGGCTTCCTTTCTGTTCTCAGGTGTAAGGCACTATTCAGTCTGTGCTAGATGGCCATTTCCTGATGAATGGTGGTGTTTCTGCGCATACCCAGGGCCTATGTCATCTTTTTTTCTCTCAAAATAAAGTCAAAAGTTGATTGTAAAGTAATTTTACAGAGGCAAGTCATACCTTGAAAGAATCAGAAGTTAATGTCACTGATTGAAAATAAGACCACTCCCACCGTTTAAAGCTAAAATTGAAGCAAGCTTTAATTAAATACTGGCCAAGATGATAGGCTCTGGCCTGGTCCTTCTCTAGTTTTCCAGAAGATGGCTCCTGAATTAGGGTTTACAATGGCTTAAGTATTTCTCATCAGGGCCAAGCATGTATCCTGACATCCCTTCAGACTATATCGGATCAGTAGAAAGTATACATCCTGACATAAGTATTTCCTGCTTGTGAACATCCTTCCCACAGGTGATCAAGCACATTCTGGTGCAGATAGGAGAAACTTGTCACACAAACTTGTTTGTGGGAGTGAAAGCATGTGGCTTCTTATCTCCCATAAACAATAGCCTCCATCATTCCAGGAACTATCTATTCCTGGGCAAGAAATAGACTTGCAAATCAGAGACATTTTGTTTCATGGATGGAGTAAGGCATAGTAATTAAAACTTAAAATGTAACTTTGAATCTCCCAAAGTAACTTAAGTAGGACATAGCCTAGCTTCAACAAACAGCCATATTACTGCATCATATGTGATCTGAGAGTTAATATCAGCAGTTAAGATTGGAATTAAAATCATGTGTATTAACTTCAGTGAAGTTACCAGGGTAAAGTAGCAATATTTAGAAAATGTTGAGTTTAAAATTGTTGGGCCCTAGCCCCCACAGGTTAACAAGTCCATCCTGTTTTCTAGTCCTGGCTTCCTGCCCTGGCCTTGACCCTCTGACATCAACATCCAGCAGGAGGAAAACATGCTCTCTTCTATCTGGGGGTTTTCCACTGTGCTATAAACCTGTATATAAAGCTCCTCCCCTTTACAAGAGACCTCTTAGCACTTCCTAAAAAGACACACACACATATACTCTCCTAGCAATAAAGGTAGCACATGCATTCTCTTAGCTGGACGTCTGGTCTTTCTTTTCCTGATACCTTGGAGTTGCTTGTGAAATCACAACTTGTGAATTTATAAGGAATGCTGATGGGAACAGACACAGGATATACAGTTCTCAAGACAAAGTCCATACTCATGCATTTGGTGTATTTTATTGTTTTTCCAAGCTTCTCTTTGCTTCTGTTAAACTCTATTGTTACTACAAAGAAAGAAGAAAAGAAAACTATTTTAAAAGTTTTCTATTTTTCAAGTAACCACCAATTTATTCAATGGTAACTTAACAATTGTGAAAAAAATGTTTTCTATTAAAAATAAATAGCTCGGGGCCAGATGTTGGTAGCGCACACCTTTAATCCCAGCACTTGGGAGGCAGAGGTAAAGCGGATCTCTGAGTGTGAGGTCAGCCTGGTTTACAAAGCAAGTTCCAGGATAGGCTACAAAGCTGTAGAGAAACCCTGTGTGTGTGTGTGTGTGTGTGTGTGTGTGTGTGTGTATGTGTGTGTTTGTAGGGGGGAGTAACTAGTGTACCAAGGACCACTATTCCATAAATATCTTCTTCCTTTAATGTATCCCACATTATAAAAGTTTTATTGAAATCTTTTAATAGCTCTTATCCAGAAAAATAAATCCTTTGTTTACACAAAGCTGGTACCTGCACCCTGATATATGTTTCCAGAACATGGCCTGGAGCAAGACAGTTTCCCTGTTCCTTTGCATCAATTCCTTTTAAACTAGGCAATCTCAACAGATTGTGAAGTAGGATCCTAGTCACAGGAGGAGACATACCACTTGCATTACAATAAAAGCCAAGGGACTTCCTGTATCTTTGTGCTAATTAGTCCAGTTTATGTTCTTTCAGGACTATTCTCTCTCTCTCTCTCTCTCTCTCTCTCTCTCTCTCTCTCTCTCTCTCTCTCTCTCTCTCTCTCTCTCAAGAAATGCCATTTGTACATGGAGATTTCATTATGTAGCACTTGCTGCCCTGGAGATCTTCATGGAGACTAGACTCAAAGAGTTCTGCCTGCTTCCCAAATATTAGGATTAAAAGCCCCTATCATGGCCTGGTGCACTCCTTTTTTTAAAAATCATCTTAAAGAGATATGTTTGTTCCCTTTGGCCTCATGTTCCTTTGTGTGACACTCAGATTATTCTTTTCTGTGTCAAAGCCGAAGACCTGGTAGCACCTGAGTTGGGGTCCTCAAAAGATTAAGTGAACTCCCTATGCTGTGAGCAGCAGTGAGGTGTCTTTCTTTCCCTGTTGCCCTGAGACTAGCAGTATGTGTCCAAACGGAAGTATTTGTTTTTTTATGTACATATATGAAGTAAAATAATTTGCTAAACACTACACCAAATTATGCCTTTTGCACTGCAAACTGAGGACATTTAAGAAACAGCAAATTCAGGGAGGGACTTGACTTGAATTTCCTTTTAATGACAAAAGACAAATGTCCAAGTTACTGCAATATCACTACTTCAAAAAGCATCTTAAGTAGAGATTGTCTGTTGGGACTTGAAGATCAACTCCCTGCTGAAATAGACTTGCCACAAGTGATTTCTCCTGAAAACATGCCCAGATCACCCATTTTCCACTAGTTTATCTTGTATTTCCCCCCTGATCCACTAAGAAGGAATATACACTTTGAAGATCTCCTGGAAGTTGAGGGTATTCAATTTTCTTTTATGCAATATATATGTGCACATTTTGCTTTGCTTTATGTGTTTACCATCAACTACTTAATCGTGGAAACACTCTGAGTTGAAAACGAATGTTTATTCTTCACAGGAATTCAGTCTGAAATTCTTCTAACTCTAAACTATAGCTGGTGGACATGACTATAGACAGGAAAACAGGGCTTCTTAAGCCTTGCTACAGAGCAAGGACTGTGTCTCTTTCACACATACACAAAATTCAAAAAACAAAACCAAACAATCCTTTTCAGAAAACACAAACCCAAGTGAAGAAACAAATGTGTGGAAGATACTGCATTACATTCTGAGACAAACGTTTACTTTATAATGTAACAAGTGTTTCTTTTTCAGAATCATATTTTGGAGGGTATTTCATAGTTTGGTCTCACGTCAGACAAGACTGGATTTGTGTTGCAGCATCACTTTGGTCATTTTAATTTCCCCAAGTTTAAAGCAAGGAAGACAATAGAATTTGTTCCATGGGATAATATAGACATTAATGTAGATGTTATGGAAAGTGATTAGATTTTAATTAAGATGTCAGGAGTCATACAACAGCTTACATAGTTTTTCCAGAAGTGGTGTACTAACATTTGATATTCAACTAACTTTAGCTGTTCTTCATATATTTTATTTGAATTTACTAGAGAACTTACAGAAATGACTTTTTAAAAATTTCTCTTTGAATTCTTTATTTAGTATTTTATGCTCTGGAAAGCTCAAACACAATTTCAAGCCAAGTCACATTAAGACTGTGTTTGAAGTTTTTTATTCTTCCACAATATTTTTAATCATCAAATCAGGAGAATATATCAAGTATATATTTATAAACACTACACACACACTCTTAAAATCAAGTAATAAGTAGTCAGTTGAAGGTGAAACAGATGGAATTTATGAAAATAACAAGTTACAAAACGGGAATAGTTTTTGTTGTCTTGAGTGCTTAGTCTGGTCCTGAAGGACTGCAATTTCAGTTACTTATGACATTGAGGCAGGCAGTAAGAACTGTGAAATCTGATCTCAAAGCAAAAATCTCAGTGCAAACAAAGCAGATAAAGGAACCCAATGAAAGGAAACTGGTCTGACTACATCTCTGTCTTCAGCAAGCAACATTTTGTAAGATGCAGAGCTCTGGGATCTGGTAACTGACTTTTTTCAGACATATGGCCACACTCTAGCTTTAACTAGAAAAGTGACATGACTCATTGAACATATTATGTCTCAGCTTCAACAGATAACAAGGGAATTTAAAATACTGCCTCACAGCACTTAGTGGATTCTAGAATGTCAGAATAAAAGCAGTGTTAGTGACTGGAGTGGGTGTACACTTCCACGACCAGGACTCAGGAGACAGGCAAGGAAGAACCTGAGTTCCTAGGCCTAAACTAAGCTCCTGCTCCTTTGAGAGGACAGGGGCAGGAGCAGGCACATCTTGTGTTGTAGAAGCTGGTCGTGTTCTCTGAAGGAATAGAAGTCTCAGCACTCCCAACGCAAATTCTACACGAAATAAAATGAAGAAGCTCATGAAAATTAATCCATGTTTAGCTAGTCCAAGCACTTACTGGGACTCAGGATTCCTAAGACAATTTAAGAGTGTAGACTACTGAAGATATTTAGAAATTACCCTCAACTATTACTTTTAGCTCAAAGATAAAACCATGAGCTTTGCTACTGACCTCTGTTAGTACTTTATTTCTCTTCTTCCTCCCAAAAAAAAACAAGAATACATTAAAGAATGCCATGCAACTTTCAGTAAATAACCAACACCCAAAGGGAACTAGTCTGAGCAGAGGTAAGCAAAAATTTTGGCATTAACAGCAAAGAAATAGTAAATTACCCGTCATTCAAGAGCAACATATAGTACTGTTCAAAGCCTTACTTAAGGGTGGGTAGAGTACTTGTAAAAATAGAAACTTTTCAACAATTATGACCAAGTTAAAAAACATTGCTATTGGCTCCACCCCTATGGAAGTCCTTAATAAGAAAACATGGAACCAGGTTTCAAATTCCTTACAAGGCAAGTAATCGACTATAACTTAACGCAGTATTGTTGGGCCTAAGAAAGGCTTGGACGCGAGGCCCAGTGTAAGCCCCTGAGCCTGACTAGAGTTTAGTGGCCAACTATAGTCTGTAGAAGTAATCCAGCTCTGTTCTGAGGACTTGGATGGCTCTGAAAAGAGCCTTTGGGTCAAGAGTGAAGTCAGCGCGCTCACTTGGAGCTGGTGTACTTGGTGACGGCCTTGGTGCCCTCGGACACGGCGTGCTTGGCCAGCTCCCCGGGCAGCAGCAGGCGCACGGCCGTCTGGATCTCCCGGGACGTGATGGTCGAGCGCTTGTTGTAATGCGCCAGGCGAGAGGCCTCGCCCGCGATGCGCTCGAAGATGTCGTTGACGAACGAGTTCATGATGCCCATGGCCTTGGAGGAGATGCCGGTGTCGGGGTGTACCTGCTTCAGCACCTTGTACACGTACACGGAGTAGCTCTCCTTGCGGCTGCGCTTGCGCTTCTTGCCGTCCTTCTTCTGGGCCTTGGTGACGGCCTTCTTGGAACCCTTCTTCGGGGCGGGCGCGGACTTTACCGGCTCAGGCATAATGACTCAAGAATGACTAGTCTCCAAAAACAAGGCGGCCGGTTGTTCCCTTTTTATAAAGCGTTATTCAAATGAGGCTCAGAAAATCCCACTTCTGATCGGATGTTATTTAGGTGACGTCATCTAAAAATTCTTAACCAATTGAAATACGCGTTGGCACAAACGAATCCCATTGGTCGAAATGAAAAGAAGACGTCAGCCAATCGCAAGGGATCTTTTTCGAGCCAAGAGAAAACTATAAGTGCCAAGCTCTTGCAGTTTTTCCAATTCTACGCAGTTACTAGTGACTGATTCATTTTGTCATGTCTGGACGCGGCAAACAGGGTGGCAAGGCTCGTGCCAAGGCCAAGACCCGCTCTTCCCGGGCCGGCCTGCAATTCCCCGTGGGCCGCGTGCACCGCCTCCTCCGCAAGGGCAACTACGCGGAGCGGGTGGGCGCCGGCGCCCCGGTGTACCTGGCTGCCGTGCTGGAGTACCTGACGGCCGAGATCCTGGAGCTGGCTGGCAACGCGGCTCGCGACAACAAGAAGACTCGCATCATCCCGCGCCACCTGCAGCTGGCTATCCGCAACGATGAGGAGCTCAACAAGCTGTTGGGCCGCGTGACGATCGCTCAGGGCGGCGTCCTGCCCAACATCCAGGCAGTGCTGCTGCCCAAGAAGACCGAGAGCCACCACAAGGCCAAGGGAAAATGAGTTAGCTTCATCTAAGCTACTTAAGATCAGACCAAAGGCTCTTTTCAGAGCCACTACTCATGTCTTTTAAAGAACTGAACATACTCTAGAACAACTTCCTGTGAATTCTAGCAACTGTTTTAACTTGACCAGTGCATTTGCAAACCATAACTGTCGGAAGATTACGTTTTTGTCCCCTAGTGGTCTTGAATACAGCCAGTTTAAGGTTAGCTGACGGCTTTCCACCTTAGAATCTTTCTGAGTAAGGGGTTTGAAGAAGCTTAGTATTTGAACGTTGTTTTCCCCCAATTTTTAAAAATATCCCCCCCCTAAACTTCATAATCCGTTCACATAAGTTTGAAAAACCTAAAAATACACTTTTTGCTTTAAAATCTTTAAAAGACTGGCGATTCCTTATTTGAACTGAAAAACTGAAAAAGGTTATTTTGTGTGGAAGATTAGGTTTCTGATACTTTAATTGCTCCTATATATAAAAAGTGAGGAAAATTTGAAATAATTGTGTAGAGGGTTGAAACATGGATGGACACTGATGGACACCAATCAGTTGGAAAATTGGAAGATCAAAAACTGACAGAATATTTCAATTTTAAGGGCAAAAACAAAGGTGAAATATTTGAGAGCATAGTATTAAAGAGCGATAACAGTGTGGGCATATTTCCCTGGCATACAAATGTATCCTGTTTAAGTGTACTTTTTAGGAAAAATTGTCAATAGCAGTTATGTCTCATGGAAAAAGCATGTATAAAATAACCTATACCTGAGAAATAAAAAAATAGAAGGGTATCCACTGATTTGCAAACATTTCTTTCAGACAATGATACTATATAATTCAGGCTAGTCGCCAACTAGCAGCAATTCTTCCTGCCTCCTAGGCTAGTGGTTTATGATTTTAATACTTGTTCAGGAGTGCCGAATTGAAAAAAAGAAAAAAAAAACCCAAGGCGCGTGCACAGTTGACCAATCGGTTTGAAGTTGAATACGCCTAGTGTAGTCTCGTCCAATCAGCTTCATAGTCTGACTATAAATAAGCCTTCAGTAGGGCTCGTTCTATTCCTCTTAATTGTGAAGCTATGGCGCGTACCAAGCAGACCGCCCGCAAGTCCACCGGCGGCAAGGCCCCGCGCAAGCAGCTTGCTACCAAGGCTGCCCGCAAGAGCGCCCCGGCCACCGGCGGCGTGAAGAAGCCCCACCGCTACCGGCCCGGTACCGTGGCGCTGCGCGAGATCCGACGCTACCAGAAGTCCACCGAGCTGCTGATCCGCAAGCTGCCTTTCCAGCGTCTGGTGCGCGAGATTGCCCAGGACTTCAAGACCGACCTGCGCTTCCAGAGCTCGGCCGTCATGGCTCTGCAGGAGGCCAGCGAGGCCTACCTGGTGGGTCTGTTTGAGGACACCAACCTGTGCGCCATCCACGCCAAGCGAGTCACCATCATGCCCAAGGACATCCAGCTGGCCCGTCGCATCCGTGGTGAAAGGGCGTAACTACAATTAATTTCAAGATCGAACAAACAAAGGCTCTTTTCAGAGCCACCTCCTTTCTCACTTGTAAGTCTGTTAACACTAAGCGTCACAGCCATGTGTATTTGCTCTGTTCAGATTGAGTTCAACTAAGTAACACAGGCATGGCAGGTCTCGGCCACGGGTGCTCTAACTGGCTCCATCGATTTGTAGCAATAACTACCTCAGAACCAAGATCAAGATTATGTGGTGCACAATAGATTTGCAAGCAGGCAAAACACGCAAGGTGTGTGTGTGTGTGTGTGTGTGTGTGTGTGTGTGTGTGTGTGTGTTATAATGTGGGTAGGAAAGATCGACTACAGGATTTGGCCTAATTCTATTGCCAGAGAGAAACTGCAGGAAGTCCTGTCGGTTCAGTTTCTTGACCTGTGCACAGCAGCTTCCTTACCGGTATGGAATGAGCCTCTCTGTAAAGGAGACAAAAGAATGAACTTTCTCCCAATAATGCTCTGCTTTGGGGTCTGAAACCCTAGATTCTACTTCATGCTTTCTTGAGGAATTCTGTCTCCACTAACTAGGTTTGGGAGGAAAGGAGGAGACAGGAGCCTGGGAGAATGCTAGGTTTCTTTCAGGCCTTCTGATCTCAGCATTTAGCCTCATCAAGGAGAATATGTCATCAATATACTTCAAGATCAAGGCAACCTAAACGAGCTACCTTTCAAAATCCATTATACACGGTACTTAATAGTTGACCCGAAGTATTTTTCTTGGATATAAGGATGAATTGAAGCTGAAACGGTGAACACAGGGAAGGTGCAACACTTGGTAGAGATTTGTCTTAAAACCTTATAAAAGAACAATTAACCAAGTTGTCATCTCTGATATAACACTACATAATGCTCCCAGGTAGGAGTCCTATTAGGTTGCCTTACCTGTTAGTAGTTTATTTTCGTATTTACCTTTCCACATATTAACTCCCCAGATCTTTAAAATAGCTGATAAGTTGCATGGGCTTGTTGCAAAGCTTTTCTCTGTAAATCTCAAATAATTTCCTGTGCTAATGTGCCTTTGGTCATTGTAATTTTAAAGCCCCAGGCACTGAACCTAAACAGATGAAAAAACAAAAACACCTTTCTTCTGTTTTCAACTCCTTTCATTAGAGAATCAGACCCATGGTTTCTGTGTTTCAAGATTTCAATAGTGCACCCAGGGCTTCTCTTTCCACAGATAGAATGCTTCTTGGTTTTAAGAATTGTTGCAAGGAAAGATGCAAAAACCAGTTACTTAGAACCTAGTAACTCAGGGAGAAATAGACTCATTTAAGGAACACGAGTGTGTATTGTTTTGTATGTACAAATCATACTTCAAAATGTACTTAGACAAATTGAGTCTTAAGTTTAAATGTGAGCCTGGCGTTGGTGGCACACGCCTTTAATCCCAGCACTCAGGAGCCAGAGGCAGGTGGGTCTCTTTGAGTTTGAGGCCAACCTGGTCTACAGAGTTCCAAGACAGCCTCCAAAACAATACAGAGAAACCCTGTCTGAAAAAAAAAAAAAAGGACTAAATATGACATGTGCTTCAAGAATAATAAAAATGCTGCCATTTTAAAAGACAAATATCACAGACATTTAGAGAAGAGGATGGATGGGGGAATACTCAGTTTCTGTGGAACAAAGCAAGACTCTTGCCTTTCAAATAGTTTTGCCTGTGCTGAAGTCATGTTTGGTCTATGTATTCTGACTCTTACTTGTAAATGTAAAGGAGAGGATGTCTGCTTTCCACTGGAAGAGAAAGGGGATAGGAGTGAGGTCTGAATAGCACCTGTATCTCTACACACTGCAATGAAATACCAAGCAAGAGCACTGCTTATTGGATATTTTTGTAATGAAGGAAGCATCAATCACTTCTTTGCATGCCACACATTTCAGAAATAACTCGCAACAGCCCTCTTAAACTGAGACTCATACCCATCAACCACAAATACTAGTGTATTCTGCTGTGAGCAAAGGCAGGCTAGCAGCCTGACTCCCATGGTAGCTCCAAATGTGAGGATAGAGATTCCTTAGAATCCGAGTTTCACACAGTCTTTTCCCTTTTTCTAAAATCGTAAGGTTTGCTGGTAAACGTGGAGAGAATTTTGGTGGCACATGTGATCCTTATCAGGTGAAAAACCTGACATGAAACAATGCCCCGTACTCTCAGACCCTATTGTCCTTTGTGTCTGACAAATCTGACTACATTAAAGGAGAGAAAGGCCTGAACAACGGTCGTTCCAAGCAACACTGCTAAGTCCTGCAAAACACACAGAATTATGACCAAGACTGCCATCTGCCGCATGACACAGGAGGGCAGCATCAAAGAGCATCCCTATCCCTGGCTCAGCTTTTCCAGAGGCTGCCTTAGTCTTCTAGGGCTGTGTACATTTCTCTGTATGGGCTTGCATTCGGACCTTGAACTGTGTAAATTGTAAAAGAATGCCAAGCACGAGCCAGGGTCTCCAGTAAAGCAACATAGTAAGTCAAATGCCAAAGCCTTCTGGGTTTGTAAATACAGGAAGTTTGCTGGTTAATCCATTTTGAATTTTTTTCGCGCCAAAACCGCAACCGTTGAGAGAGAGCCAGTACGATCTGCAATTTCTAAAGCAGTTTCTTGTCAGGAAACATTCGGAGCCGTTCTTGGGAGCGATCAAGTGTGAGAAGTGCTGATGACTCCAGGAATTACTAATTTCTTGTCAATTTTCCTTTCGGATTTCTCATTAAATTTGTGTTCCAAATGAATTCTTTTGAAAGGCAACGTTTTCTTGTGATATTAGTTCCTGGGGGTATACTAGAGTAATTTTTACGTGAAAAACGAACTTTGTACATTTAAAAGAAGATGTAGGCGACGGATAATTCCCTTTTATTTACTGGGTTTAAACGCGGACCAATCACATGTCTGGATCTATGATGTCAGCAATTGACTGTCCAATCCAGCACGGAGATTCGTTATATAAACGGAGCCTTTGGGCAGTTTTTGTCATTGTGGTTTTGTTCTCCACTAAGATGGCTCGTACTAAGCAGACCGCTCGCAAGTCTACCGGCGGCAAGGCCCCGCGCAAGCAGCTTGCTACCAAGGCTGCCCGCAAGAGCGCCCCGGCCACCGGCGGCGTGAAGAAGCCTCACCGCTACCGGCCCGGCACCGTGGCCCTGCGCGAGATCCGACGCTACCAGAAGTCCACCGAGCTGCTGATCCGCAAGCTGCCTTTCCAGCGCCTGGTGCGCGAGATCGCCCAGGACTTCAAGACCGACCTGCGCTTCCAGAGCTCGGCCGTCATGGCGCTGCAGGAGGCCTGTGAGGCCTACCTGGTGGGTCTGTTTGAGGACACCAACCTGTGCGCCATCCACGCCAAGCGAGTCACCATCATGCCCAAGGACATCCAGCTGGCCCGCCGCATCCGCGGGGAGAGGGCGTAGTTTTCCTGTTGTACTTCAGTAAAAAGGCTCTTTTCAGAGCCCCTTCTCGTTCACCAAAAAACGAGCTGTGCCTTTAGGCAACTTCTCAACCCTATTGTAGGAAGTTTTATAGTCTTCTATCATGCCACAACTAAACTATAATACCTTGTCTCAACCTGTCCGTTGAGCTTATTTGCAATAAGGTGGTGAGATTTTTCCACAACTGTATAGAAGAGGTTAAGCCAGTTGGACTCTCACATCTCTGCATACCTTTTTAAAAAGACTTCCATTATGTGCCACTAGTTAATGCACGTCTCCTGCAGTTAATTCCCTCAGTCTGTAACTCCTTGCATTGGGAATTATTTGGTTGACTTTTTTGAACCAAGGCTTCAGTAGGTTCCGTATATATCAAGCGTGCTTGTAATTGGCAGTCCTGAACCCTCAGCTGTGAAAATGGTCTTTCTGTTTAGTTTTCCTGGTGCTAGCCAAACAAGTAAAAGTTAAGCTCTCTTTGACATTTTTCTTTCAATGGCTTTTTATATTGGTAAAATAGTTCTTACTTTGAGAGTCATACAATTTACTATATAGGCTTGTCTATCTTGTACACCATTCCCAGATCATCTGTAGCAAACATGTATGCTGGCCTCTTTAATATCCTTACCGGTATTGGTAATAGTCTTTTTACTTTTCAGTTTTATTTTTTTGAGATAAGGTCTCAAGTAGCTATTCAATGTTGTAGTCGCCTGAATATGTAGTAATGAATCTGCTTGTAAAGGTAATCTTGCCTCAACTGCATAATTGGTAGGATTATAGATGTGGCCCTGTAAACCTTGATGAAGATTATCATTGTCAAAAGAAACTGCCTTTTTTTTTGTAAAATAAAAGAACAGCATCCTCGTGATTTATTTTACGTATAAATCAATCTGATGATGTCCTTTAATAATTAGTACTGAATTCTGTACATCTTTCTGCACCATAGCAAGTAGTACTTCTCATCATAGTAACCTTCACTTTTTCCCCTTTAGCAAACTTCACACCCTTTCTCTTTACCTTGCTTTTATTTTTCTCAAAATCTTTGAAACTATAATTGCTGGCCCCTTAATAATATTCTAAAATATTGGCCATCTTGGCATCTCAACATACAAAAAATACCCGTGATGGCATAAAGTGCTTAAGAGTGTGCCTGATTGTGCTGCTTGCTAAATGTTCTGAAATTCTCAGTGGCCATTTCAACCAACTGCATTTGAGAGCTGTAAGGGCACTCTAATGATTTCCTGAAAGTTTTAGAATTTTCCTCATGTAAATTATCATATATATATATATATATATATATATATATATGGTCTTCGGATGCCAAGGAAGTGACAAAAGCCAGTCAGGTCCACCTCTAAAGTTGGTTTGTCTCTGAAGGTAGTGACTTCCTTTTAAATATTTGTGTTACTTTTTAAAGCTTCAAGTGTATGAGGTTTTGTGTATATATGTGCCCCACTTACATGCCTGATAATGCTGAGAATTGAGAAGAAAGCGTGAGATCCCCGGGGCTGGAGTTATAGACTGTTTCAAGCTGCCCTGTGAGGGCTGGGAAACTAGTGCAGATCTGTAAGAGCCGCAACTGCTCTTACCTGCCAAGCCATTTCCACAACTCCTAAAGTCAATGATTTCTAATCTTCCTATTTCAAAGAAGAAACTTTCACAATGGAAAAAAAAACTGCAATCTCCATTAGAGATAGCAATGTATGGAAAGTACGAGAAGCCTGACTCGTTTTTATATAAGAGAAATATGTAAAATGGTTAATTTCAGTCTGTCGCCAATGAGGCACACTGTACCTGTGTTATTTGATACAGTCAGAAACAAAGTTTGTCACCAAACCAAAAAAGATTTTTCCTTTACTCTTGCAAAAATTAAAAGCGGGACTTGTGCACAAATCCTTTTAAGTAATATTCCTTGCATACATCGTATAAGTTTATGAAAACATACAAGTAACTATCAGTATGTCCTCTGCTTCGTGGATTCTTCGTAAACACTGGAGGGATTTTTAAAAAAAAATATGTTTGGTCTGTTGAGTGTTATTCAAAAAAGTACACATAGGTATGTTAACCCGAAGGCTACTCTCCTTTGCAACGCCAAACTGCCAATTTCTGTGCCCTTATAGTTAGTAGTAAGTAAAAATTTGGGGACTAACAAACACAATTTGAGAGTCTAACCTGGAGTCGCGGCGGCCAGAGGGCGGTGGATTGGACGCTCCACCAATCACAGCCCAGCTCTGCCTTATATAAGCCCGGACTCCGAGCTAAGGATCATTGCAAAATTTGCTCTTTGAGTTAAGTTTCTCTGCTTGTATTGTAGCTCACATACTCGCTATGTCTGAAACTGCTCCCGCCGAGACTCCTGCTCCTGCTCCCGTGGAGAAGTCTCCCGCCAAGAAGAAGACGACAAAAAAGGCTGGCACAACGAAGCGGAAGGCCACCGGTCCCCCGGTGTCCGAGCTCATAACTAAGGCTGTGTCTGCCTCCAAGGAGCGCAGCGGCGTGTCCCTGGCCGCGCTCAAGAAGGCTTTGGCTGCAGGTGGCTACGATGTGGAGAAGAACAACAGCCGCATCAAGCTGGGGCTCAAGAGCCTGGTGAGCAAGGGCACCCTGGTGCAGACCAAGGGCACCGGCGCCTCCGGCTCCTTCAAGCTCAACAAGAAGGCGGCTTCCGGCGAGGCCAAGCCCAAAGCCAAGAAAGCAGGCGCGGCTAAAGCTAAGAAGCCTTCAGGTTCCACCCCGAAAAAGCCTAAGAAGGCTGCGGGGGCCAAGAAGACGGTGAAGAAAACTCCAAAGAAAGCAAAGAAGCCTGCGGCGGCTGGAGTGAAAAAAGCCAAGAGCCCTAAGAAGACCAAGGCAGCCAAGCCTAAAAAGGCAGCTAAGAGCCCGGCAAAGCCTAAGGCTGTGAAGCCAAAGGCAGCCAAGCCTAAAGTTGCCAAGCCTAAGTCAGCTAAGCCTAAAGCTGCTAAGGCGAAGAAAGCTGTTTCCAAAAAGAAGTAGGTTTGCTTCTGACAGCAACCAAGCCCCAAAGGCTCTTTTCAGAGCCACCCAGAGAGCTCTGTGAATGTAGCTGTACACTGAATTAGTTTCCGCCTATGTTTCAGTTGAGCCAACTCCCTCAAACATTTGGCTGCCTCAATGGAATTCAGGTAAGACTGGGATGGAGTCGTTAGATTGACCCTCCGCGTACTCGCCATGTTCACACTGGTACTCCCCCCCCCCCCCCCCGCCCTTTTGCGGTCACACTGATCGCCCCCCCACGGCTAATTTTCCCACCCGGGACTAGTAGGTCTTGGAGGTCTTATCCTCTGCATTGCGAAGACTTAAAAGGAATGTAGCTCTCGAGTACACTTAGCTGCAGTTAGGTTTTCACAACTGATAAGTCAAACTCAGGGCGCGAAAAGAGGCTGAATTCATTGGCTGTGCATAAACGTATTTCCTAACCCAGTTGCGTCACTCTTTTATACTAACCTTATCGATTGGACAGCTAGTCGATGACGTTTGTGGAGTCACTTCACTCAATTGCCACAACTCATTTAATTTGCAGCTAATCTGCAGCTAGTGCAGACACCATCCTACACCCTTCACTTTATAAAATTGCCTTTTCTTCTAGTATTAGAGCCCTGGAAGTCAGCTTCCTACCGGAATGAGTATTTAAGAAGGCGGTGACGCAGTCGCAGGACCATTAGCGTAATCGCAGCCATAAGGAGAGTATATGTACAAGGTGCTGAAGCAGCTATACCCCAGCAAGGACTTCTCTTCGAATGCCATGTGCCAAGCAGGCCGTGTCCAAGTGCACCAAGGATGCCCAAAATTTCAAGTCATTTACACTTTGTATTTTCGAGACAGGGTTTCAAAGTGTAACAGTCTTGCTTGTCCTGGATATAGCTCTGTAGACCAGGCTGTCCTCGAACTCCCTATCCTACGGTGTCTGCCTTCTGAGTGCTGGGATTAAAGGCGTGTGCCACTATCATCGAGATTGTTTACACATTTTATGGAGTGTTTCCTTTGTTCTTGGTAGTATAAAGACACTGAAGTTCCTTGATGAGTACTTGTTTAAAAAGTTTATTAATGTAGTTGGCTTGACGCCTCAAACACGGGAATGCTGGAAAGTTTTGTGACTTCATTATCATTATAAATATCTCAATTTTAAATCTTATATAGATTCCTATATTGAAGTCAACTTTGCGGGAAGTTTTCCTCCACTTTGGGACCCTAGCAGTGACCCGCAATGACAATGGGCAGCACAGATGCCTTCTGAATGTTTTGAAATGTGTTGCAAGAACAGCCGGAGAGGAAAGAGGTCACTTATTTAGGTGGGGTTCTGGTTGCTGCTGTCAATGCAGAAGTCACAGAGCCCTGTGCCTCAGACCTGGAAAGGAAACATGACAGCCCTAGTCTCAGGAGTGTCCATCAGAGCTGCCTTCTCCCTCAAAACCCATACCTACCTGCTGCTGCAACTCCCAGTTCTGGTATTTTCTGGTCCTTGTAAAAAGTGAGATGTCCACCTCTCTTGCCTTAGTTGTGCTGTATTCCAAAAGAAGTTATGAAACAGAAATTGGTTAAGAGAAATGGATTTATTTATACTTTGACCAAAATCAGGGAAAGAATGTATTCTCTACTGTGCTCGTGGCAATCTTATATTTTACAGGAGACAATGAGAAAAAGATGGACTACAGGGAAGTGAGACAGATTTACAGGGCTTTTCCTGTGTTTAACACTGAGCTAGAGGCACAAAGCTGACTCCCTTCCCCAATTACATAGCTCAGACTGGCCTTAAACTCTCATAGATCCCAATATGTAGGACCACAAAACAGCGAAATCCTGGCTTTTTTAGGGATGATCCTATGGGTTATGAGGGAGCAGGCTGGACAGAGAGGATTACTTGCAATTGGGAAAGACTTTCTGACTATCTTTGACATGCTTGGCCACCCTGTCTACCCCTCTATATCTGCCATTGGGTTAGGGTGTGGGGTTGTGCTTTGACAGGATGGGTTATGATCTGCCCGAAGTGTGTTAATAGGTGGCACTTCCAGACACTTCTCTCTTGTAGTATGGGAGACACTCCAGCTGGGTTATTGGAGGACTGAGTTGAACAGTGACTCTGGGACCTTTTATTCCAAAGGGAGAATTTCTAGTGCTGCAGCACATTCTGCGGTATCCTGAGGCTCAGCTTGGAAAGGACACACTACAAGACATAGGAGACAGTAAATCCGAGGACAGCAGTGAAACAGGGAGGAAAAGGGAACAGGGAGACCCCAAGTCGAGGGAGACAGTCCTGACCTTTAGTATACAGACCTTTAATGAAGCCCTTAGGTTCCTGTGGGAGATGGCCTTGGAAGCAATCAAAATAATTGTGGAAAGCACTAAGTTAGTTCTGCGAAAGGCTTATTAGCGAAGACTGAGCCACCTCCATTGCAAGCCTCTGTCTTTGAAGAAGTGATCTTTTCAGTAGTTCTCAGCCATTTGTCATGGGGTGTTGGAACCAACTTTGTGAAGCTTCAGTGGGATCCAGCTGACTTGCCTCAGGGAAGTGTGGATTGAGAAATAGCAGATAAAGACTTTAAGAAAGAGACAAAGACACAGAATAGAGTCAGAAGGATAATCCAGGGAATACTGGACACCCCAAGTTTATTCTTCAACATTCTCCAACCAAAGAGAGGAACATGGCAAAAGACTTCTTTATCATGTACAAGCAAAAAACAGAATTTGTTTATTAATTTTTCAAACATTTGGTAACCACACCTTAGACTAAATTTCTCGTTATCTGATCTTGAGGATTAAGAGTAACCACACCTCAAAGCAAGTCTCTTGTTATTTAGATAAGACATCCACGACCAAGGTCAAACATCCTACAGTAGGCACACCTTAGACCTTTAGGTCTTATGACTTTAACCTTGGAAGAGTAAGGATAATTTTGAACTTTCTGACCTTAAGTCAGATGAAGTGGAACCAACTCTGTGGGCCCTGACAATGGTGCCTTCTCTGTTTAGACTTTTGGTATCCAGTATTGTAAGCGAAACAAAACCCTTCTCTTCAAAAGTAGCCTGCTTCAGATATTTTGTTGCATTTGATAGAGATTGACAAAAGAGATGGAAATATGAGTGAGTGTGAGCAGTGTGGAAGCTCTAAGCCTTCTCAGAATGCCTCTTCTTTCTTGTTTTCCAGTTCTTTCCTCTGGAGGACCCACCTCAAACCTTACATGCTCAAGTTTATGAAATCTGCATCTCCATTTAGGGGCCCAAAGGGTTCCTTCCTTTGCTACTGCTTATTTCTGTATCAGCCATTATCACTTTCGGATCTGCTGCAGCATCCACTTTAGTCTTCAGGCTGTTACATGCAAACGGATGTGACTTTGTGAATCTGAAAGACCCTTCAGTCTTTCTCTCAGGACCCTTGCCCCAAAGACCACCAGGGAGACAAAGTTCACTGCAAAACGCAAAAGGATTTTTATTAAGCCGCCGTGCCAGGGTTCAGCAGCCTTGGGAAGGAGTGGACCCCGAGTAGAAATTACTGCAAGTTTTTAAAGCCTAAAACTGCAAACCGGGTGGTGGGGGTACAAGGGGAGTTTGGAAATTGGTGCCAGACCTTCATGAATCTCGTATGCTTGTGGCTGTCTGGTTGACTGACTTGTTATCTGTCTCTTGCAACATCTGTGCCTTGGCTGAACTTTGTGATTGGCCTGGAACCTTGAGGTCTGGGAAATGTTCCCAAGTCCTTGAAGACTGAGGTCTGGGAAATATTTTCAAGTCCTTGAGGACCACCAGGGGAAGATGTTTAAGTGTAGCTGCTCACATCCAAGGACAGGACAGCTTAGCAATTTTCCAACTATTGGGAGGCTAATTGTTGGGGCTCTTCAAATTCACTGCTGACTTGTGAACCTGACTCTAAGGACATGCTCAGTAAATAATGGGAGATGGAGTGACCTTAACAAATAATAATAATGACTATGATGATGATGATGATAATAATAATAATAATAATAAATGACTTCTTGTAGTGGTTTGAATGAATGAGTGCTATCACCCATTGTCATGGGTATTAGAACACTTGGTTCCCAGTTGCTGATGCTGTTTGGAGAGGTTTAGAAGGTCTTACTGGAGAAAGTTGTCCCTGGAGGGCTGTTGGGCCTAAGAAAGGCTCGGATGTGAGGCCCAGTGTTACCTCCTGAGCCTGGCTAGAGTTTGGCGACCTGTCTCTAATCTGTAACCTCCAAGTGGGGGTGACTCAGCCAGACCTGATGCAAGATTGCCCCCTGCCTAGCTACCTGCCTGCTTGGTGGAATATTATTGGCCCTTAATCCTCATGTCACCTGTCACCTTACCCTATCCTATGTTTCCCAGCCCCTACTTCAGTCCTATGTAAGTTCCTGCCTGTTGGAATAAACTGAGATAGGCTTTGACAGACTCCAGACTCAGTGTGTGTTTTTTTCTCCCTGGTAACTAATGGGGGGAGGGTCTGAGTCGTCGACACTCATCATCCCACTCAGCCCCCAGGAAGAGACCAGCTGGACCAGCCCTTCCCCTGCTCTACCTGTAGGGGGAACCCTGCACTATGGTAGTGTCATAAAATGGAACCCTGTAGCTTTCTGCTTATCCCAAATGGAAAGGCAAAGAATTAAGATAGTTGTGTAACATTTATACCATCATTATCCATAGTAATGGGTCTGAGGAGTCGGTATGGCATGGGGACGGAATGTCTTCCTCTTCTTCTCATATGGAGGGAGAAACTACTCAAGAACATCTTTGGAAATTAATAGCAATATTAGGTAACATTTGGGCCTGGAAAGAGGGTACATGGGAAAATGTTTCTAACAGATTGTTCTCTTAAAAATTAAAAAAGTATCACATACTAGTATTGCATATGTTAATCTTCCTTATTTTTCATGATTTGAGAAACCACTTGGGATCAATCTGAAGGATCTGTGTCTTGTTCCAACTATTCCTCATAGACATGTTTAAATGCTAGTACTCTGGTTAATTTGAGCTCCCAGAGAACATTTATATACTTTGATCTCAGATTGGTGTTTGGATGCCTGTACAGTGAAAAGGGTAAACCAAACTCAAAGGCTTCACTTCTAGTAATTTAGAAATAAAGGGACCAGACCCTCACTCAGTCCCCTGCTTTAGTAGCCATGACAGGCTACAGAAAAGACACGTATGCCTCTGACACAAGGAAACTCCTGATCCTCTGGCCTCCAGGAGTCTTGGGCCAAAACTGAACACCAGACCAACCGCCCTCTCCTCCAGCCTCCTAGATACTTGGTTCCTGGGAACTGTTTGAGCACAAAAGAAACTCCAGGCGGGGACCAAAACAATTGCAAGCACTTTCTATGTTGTAATGTTTATAATGATTGTTTGATTTTGTTATTTCTAATAACCTAGATTAAAAACCTCCCTACATCAAAAAAAGTAATTCAGCATGGAGCAGCTGTATTCAATATTCTATAACAAAATATGTTTAAACAAAAAGGGGGAAAAGAATAAGACTTGATGAACTGATATCAGCCTAGGACGCTACACTTACCAGATAATCCTTGAAAGCAAGGGGATATTTACAGAGCTATGACAGAACATTGCCTTCATACTCCACCAAGTATCCCTGGCCAGGTGTTATGTTTTTTTCATCTATCTTCTGGGAAAATGTTCAGTTAGTAACATAACAAAGCTGCTCTTTGTCTAGTAAGAAAAAGCCAACATTACAAACTGGTAGTATCTTATGGACTCTATTTTTGAATCGAGAGGTGCAACAGTATAATATGGCTAAGAATAAAGGCTCTGTACTCCTAGCCAGGCAGTGGTGGTGGTGTATGTCTTTGATCCCATCATTTGAGCAGCAGAGACAGACGGATTTCTGTGTTTGAGACCAAACCAAAACAACAGCAACAAAAAAGAAAAACCAAGCCCTGAATAAGCTGAGTCCTTTTCTGTTCCTCGTTTTGGTGTCCCTGGTTTAATTTTCAGTATCTCTTGATTCTTCACACTTAATTTTAGCCCAAAGCTGAAACCATGAGCCTTGTTACATTCTTCTGTTTTTTTTCTGAGACACGGTTTCTCTGTATTGCTTTGGAGGCTGTCCTGGAAGTTGCTCTGGAGACAGACCATAGTGGCCTTGAACTCACAGAGATCTGCCTGCCTCCCTCCCGCCTTGCCTCTTCCTCCAGAGTGATGGGATTAAAGACATGTGCCACCAATGCCCTGCAGATTTTTCCATTTTTAATGAGGCTTAGAAATTGCTTTTGCACAGGGTTCTTCATCTCTATTGTATCTATACTATCATACAGCATCCGATAACAAACGGGTTGTAGGAAACACACACCTAAAATGTAAGGCAAATTAAAAGAAAACTACTGGTCCCAAAAAAGGATTTCAGTCTCCATGCTTTCCCCATCACCTTAGACCTCTATCACTAAAGTAATCTTTGTTTAATAGTTTTACATTTTCACTTATGAGTTTGTAATCATGCATATTTCTAAATGAACTTCAAAAGCAAGTAATTTGGATTTGTTTTTTATTAAATGACATTTGCAAACCTCCCAAGACATGACTCTGAAATTAAATACTTATTATTTCAGTTATTTTCTTCTTTGTATGACTTGCATTGTGTTACTTTACCTCAATGAAAGCATTTCTTTTATATGAACATGTGACCATTTCTACTGGTTTGTCTGAAAGAATACCATTGTTCCTAAAAGAAAACAAATCCCCATGTCTTGTTGCTGTATTTGCAACACATTCTCATGAAAACAACTAGAAGTCAATAGAATATCGTAATCATATAGAACGAATCAACAAAAGAACTGAGCAAAATATAGCTTGTGGAAGTGGTTTCATGTGGATTCCAGGTAAAGATTTTTTAAATGTTTCGATTTTGCTATTGCATATTTAAACTGGAAATCCTATTTTGATTATCGGAGGTGAGGATAGGGGATAGACTTTTGATTTTTCTTGTCAAGTCCCTTCTCAGTGGCAGAAACAGAAATGAGAAATGAACAGTGTAGCACCGCACGAATGCTGTGGAAAAACACGCCGCGCAAGTGAGGCCCAATTTCCGATAAAGACAGATACAGTTAAGATTTGGCGCTATGTTTAAATTGCCCGCGCAGCGCCTGGATTGGACATTGAAGTCTACTTTGAGATGGGCAGACATTCTTTTTCTTAGTTTCACTTCTGGTAAAGCAAAGCTCAATTAGGAAAACCAAACAAACATGCATAGACGGCACTGCACTCAAAAGAAAACCGTAAAACTGAGAAACAGGCGTTATGTGCACAGGCGTTTTCAAAGACCAGAAAAACCTTACAGTGTGCAAGGCGATAACGTTTCATTAATATTTAAGAATAACTAACTTTCCAAGAAATTTAACAATTCGTCCTACCAGTAGTGAGTGCCTTTGAAAAGAGCCTTTGGATCAGCACTGCTGCTGCTGGATTTGTGACCACTGACATTCAAATTACACAGAATTCTAGATGGCTTGTCATTCACAAACACCTACCCCGCATAGCGGACTTCTAGTTAGTCATTTTCAGCTATGAGGAATACAAAGTTGATTCTCCAGGATACGAATACCTGTGAAAGGTCTATGTACGTGAAGATTCCATGTATTTCTAGAAATGTAATCTCAAGGAGACTAAAAACTAAAACCAACACAGTACTGCTCTTCCAAATATTTACCTTGTGCTTTCGAGAAATGTAACAGCTGTTTCCAAACGAAATTGTGGGTGGCTCTGAAAAGAGCCTTTGGGTTATGAGGGAGGTCAGCGCGCTCACTTGGAGCTGGTGTACTTGGTGACAGCCTTAGTGCCCTCGGACACGGCGTGCTTGGCCAGCTCCCCGGGTAGCAGCAGGCGCACAGCCGTCTGGATCTCCCGGGACGTGATGGTCGAGCGCTTGTTGTAATGCGCCAGGCGAGAGGCCTCTCCAGCGATGCGCTCGAAGATGTCGTTGACGAACGAGTTCATGATGCCCATGGCCTTAGAGGAGATGCCGGTGTCGGGGTGTACCTGCTTCAGCACCTTGTACACGTACACGGAGTAGCTCTCCTTGCGGCTGCGCTTGCGCTTCTTGCCGTCCTTCTTCTGGGCCTTGGTCACGGCTTTCTTGGAACCCTTCTTCGGGGCGGGAGCAGACTTGGCGGGCTCAGGCATGATGATAAAAGGAAACACAAGTAGATAGTAGAGAAATAGAAGAAGCGCTCTGTACTGGTCCCCTTTTAAGCAAACTTGTGGCTATGCTTAGCCTGAATCAGAAAACGTCATCTACTAACTGTCCAATCAATGGAAGCAGTTTTTCAAAACCACGGTGCCGTTGGTGTTTATGTGCAACCAATGAAGTTGCTCCATTTTCGCGCCCTGCGTTATGTATAAATATCGCCAGTGTAGTCCTTTGTTAATCGCATACTCTTAGATTTTTTGCAATGTCTGGACGTGGCAAACAGGGCGGTAAGGCTCGCGCCAAGGCCAAGACTCGCTCTTCCCGGGCTGGCCTGCAGTTCCCCGTGGGCCGCGTGCACCGCCTCCTCCGCAAGGGCAACTACGCGGAGCGGGTTGGCGCCGGCGCCCCGGTGTACCTGGCTGCCGTGCTGGAGTACCTGACGGCCGAGATCCTGGAGCTGGCTGGCAACGCGGCCCGCGACAACAAGAAGACGCGCATCATCCCGCGCCACCTGCAGCTGGCCATCCGCAACGACGAGGAGCTCAACAAGCTGCTGGGCCGCGTGACGATCGCTCAGGGCGGCGTCCTTCCCAACATCCAGGCGGTGCTGCTGCCCAAGAAGACCGAGAGCCACCATAAGGCCAAGGGAAAATAAGTCATTTAAAACAAGCCTTTTAGCTAAGCCAAAGGCTCTTTTCAGAGCCACCCACCCTCTCTCCAAAAGAACTGAACATTGTTTTGATATTTGTCCAATGTATTGCCTCATCGTTTCACAAACTCTGGCTATACATTGAGTCGTTGAATAACTCCTGTGAGCATATTAAAACGTTGATTTTTGTAGCGGCTAATATCGGTACTTTGGCCATGCAAATGTCCGTTTCAACTCAATACAAAACATTTATTGGGAAACACTTAACTATATACATTCCCCTTTACTTAAATGATTTATGGGCATTACTGACATGTCAGCTGCCATTTGCCAACAAACCATCTAAGGATGTCACGTCAGTTCATGGCATCACAGCTAAGCACATTCCTCCTTCGCTCTGCAAATATTCACAAATTGTAGGACCCAATGTGTTAATAATTTTAGGCCGTTTTTTAAGTGTCACTACCTAATACATTACTTTTCCATATAATTTGAAACAAAGGCTCTAAAAATAGTTTAAGAAAAAATACATTGGTTTAATCTAATACCCGGTCAGAATGTTCATTAAAGGAATTTCACACTGCTGCTCAAGCGCACAAAGCGTGCTTCAGACTGAAGAAAACAAAAGGACTCAACAACCAATTAAATTTTTCCTGCAGCCATTTTTGACCAATCAGAATCCGTTCGCCTGTATAAATATTGGTCGCGGGACTCGCTGCTTCAGACTTTTCTTTCCAAGCTTAAGTCTTCTAGTTATGGCTCGTACTAAGCAGACCGCCCGCAAGTCCACCGGCGGCAAGGCCCCGCGCAAGCAGCTTGCCACCAAGGCTGCCCGCAAGAGCGCCCCGGCCACCGGCGGCGTGAAGAAGCCCCACCGCTACCGGCCCGGCACCGTGGCGCTGCGCGAGATCCGGCGCTACCAGAAGTCCACCGAGCTGCTGATCCGCAAGCTGCCTTTCCAGCGCCTGGTGCGCGAGATCGCCCAGGACTTCAAGACCGACCTGCGCTTCCAGAGCTCGGCCGTCATGGCGCTGCAGGAGGCCTGTGAGGCCTACCTGGTGGGTCTGTTTGAGGACACCAACCTGTGCGCCATCCACGCCAAGCGAGTCACCATCATGCCCAAGGACATCCAGCTGGCCCGCCGCATCCGTGGGGAGAGGGCTTAATTTGGCCTCCAGCTTTTTTTAAAGGCTCTTTTCAGAGCCACCCATGTCTGCACTGAAAGAACTGTTGCCTTACATGACTCTGAATATTTTGGACCTTTGCCCTTGGAGCAACACAAAGCTTGCTTTTTTTTTTTTTTACCAGTTTATTGACTATCCAGTTATTCTGAGGAATGTGTGCGTTCATATTTTCTGCTAGGTGGGCAGTTTAGTCTCCTGTGTTTCCTTCTAGAGGCATGAGTGAAGCGGCTAAATTCTCCCACTCCCACAACTGAGTAGGTTTCAGTTCCTTTAAGAAAGGTCTCCCAAGAAGGGCACTTTATCCACATACCCTTACACTCAGGAACAAAATCCCAGGCCTAAATGGGGTCAGCCTCACAATGTCTCAAGGACAAATCCTGCAGCCTGCTTGTGAGTCATGGCTCAACTTGCTCAAAATTGTGCAAATATGTCAAAAAATGAGACTGACAAAAGTATACCAATGTAACTGCTGCTTTCATAACCAATTAAATGTGAGAAACTACTTGAAACAGCCTTTAGCTCTCATTTTGACCAGGCTAGCGACCCACAGACGCTCTCTTTGCTTTTGCATACTAGTCTGGGTCTCCTTTAATTTTTCTTCGTATCCTTACATGAGCCACCATGTGGTATCGGGAATCTGAGCTCTTTCTGTAAGAGTGACAAGCCTCTTAATTGCTCAGCCATCTCTCCAGCCCTGTGAAGGGAATTTGCATTAGTTTGTATCCTGGTAATGTGTTGAGAATCCCCAGATAAATGATTGGGTAGAGAAACAGGAAGAAAACCATGTGGAAGATGCAAAAACCATCATCAGCCAGAGTACTAAAACCAGCTTCCTGTGGCCTGTGAGGGCCATCCTTAACTTTAAGGGTCCATATATTTGCCTAACATTAATTTTCCTTTTCAGTAATGTATTCAGCTTTTCCTGGCCAAGAGACCTGTGTAAAATCCTGTGTCAACTTGTCAGTGGGCTCACTGGAAAAAAAAAAAAAATGCTTGTGCAAGAGCGAGGAGTTCTGGTCCTTAGCAATCATATGCCCACCTGCAACTCCAGCACAAAGAAAGCAGAGATAAGTTGGCTAATTCAACTCCTGAGTCCCAAAGCTCTGGGTCAGAATAGGAGACCTCAAGTGAAAGTAAAAGACAGAAAATGACCAGGCCAATGTCAACCCCTGGCCACACACCTGTACTTCATGCACACATGTTACAATACACAGCACGCTCAAATATAAAATAAAAATTTTAAGGATAATAATAATGTTTCATATTGGCATGAATCCCTAAAGCAAAATAAAGTCCCTCTTTATGGAAGTGACGGGGAGGAAGATGAACATTTTGGAAGGAAGGCCCATGAGGCCCACTGCAGATGGAGAGTTCCTGTTCAGAATCAGGCTAAGCCACGTGTTGACTGTACAGTAAGCAATACATTTTATTCCTTGCACATAGCAGCACCAAGCACTCTACCAGAAACTCTAAAAGGCTCACACAGGTTTGCACTGATCAATACTCAGTATGTATGTCACAATTTTAGCCTTTCAGTTAGAATTCCATGAAACAGTTTTTCAGGGGCAGTGATCAGATATGGCTACATGTACATGAATATTCTGTTCTTGATGATATTCCATGTGATATCTATCACAATAGTGTGGTCAAGTCATCCTCTAAATAAGCTTTATAAACTCAAGCAGCCTCATCTCCCATGTAAGAATACAGTTTTGCTTTTATTAATGGCATATAAAAATGAACACCAGGTGACAGATGTCACGTTTTTTTTTTTTTTTTCTTCCCCTTCTTCAAGACAGCATTTCTCTGTGTAACAGCAGAGCTCTGGTTGTCCTGGAAGTCACTTTGCAGACCAGGCTGGCCTTGAACTCACAGAGAGCCACTTGCCTCTGCTTCCCAACTGCGGAGATTACAGGCATAGGCCCTGCAGATTTCACATTCTTAGGTAGACAATAATGTTATTTACTAAGACTAGGATCAGTAAAGAGTTGAATTGCTGAGTGATGGATCTAGGATATGTGTTTAGTTTTGTTTTTGCTTTTTGTTTTCCTACAAGAAATCTTGAAGTTAGACCAAGGGTGATATAGAGGAGGTAAGTATCACACAGACATAAAGATCTGGAATTCAGTAGTATATCAAAAATATTTAAAACCAAAAGAGAGGACTATCTCCTGTAGCTTTTGCCTTATTGTCAATATAAAACTTCCTAATTTGCCTGTTCATATCAGCCAAGAATCTGTACTTATGGGCATTCTCTGCTGGATCCCCCATACTACCCTTCGTTGATAATTTCCTTTAACTTCCAGAAGAGGTGTTACCTTCCATAGATTTTAGTCTTTTAAACCTCCATGCTCCCTGGTCCCCTAAGTCTGCATATTTCTTCTTCACCCTTCTTATGTCACTTTTGTGTTTCTCCTCACTAAATTTTCTGTAGTTCAGACACTTTACTTATGGCATCTAAGGGTGAAATGAATTGTTTCTGAAAGAATAATTAGAATCTAAAGAGGTAAAATAGCAGTTATTGAGCTTGAGCTTCCAGGGACAGCATAACTGTTACATGATATAAATCTCCTTTCCAGCAGCCTGGTTTCCTAAATGGTAATACAGGCAATTTCAAGGATATTTGATCCACTGTTCTACAAATGGCACTTTTCTTTAGAAAGAAATTAAACTTTTCATGAACACAGGTGATTTGCTTGTTAGTACTTTGGGAGTTGGGATGACAACATTCAAACTCATCATTATTACTACAGTCTCATTTAGGAACTGTCCCTGGCCATCTTTGTGTGTGTGTGTGTGTGTTCAACTGTTGAGTATATAAAATAAACATTTATTTTCTCATAGCAATTCTTTTTCTTTCTTTCTTTCTTTCTTTCTTTCTTTCTTTCTTTCTTTCTTTTTGGTTTTTTTTTTTTTTTGAGTTGGAATCTACCATCTATCTCTGGCTGTCCTGCAATTTGCAGAGATATGCCTTTTTTGGCTCCAGAACATGGGATTGGCGGTATGGGGCACCCATGTGCAGTAATGTTACTAATACTCTATGATATGAGCCATAACATAAGACAGCAAGGTACAATGGCTAACTACAAATATTCAAAACAGGAAAATGAAGGTAGAGACATTATTTTCTAAATTTTTATTAATTTACAAACCTACCTCAAACAGCAATCCTACTTCCTCAACTTTTGGCTTCTTTAAACTCAGCAATCCCGATGCCTCAAACAGCAATGATGGATGCTATTTATAGGAATGAGCCACCCCATACCTGTTTTGTGAAATTTCAGTTTGGTATTACAGAAGCACAATTATATACATGAATACTGGATCACTACAGAAAATTTAAGTTGTGTTTCTCAATGGAAATGTTAATAGATCATCATCCTCTACCCACCTGTAATTCCAGTCATAAACAGAGGTAACCAGAGGTTATCAAAAACAGAGCTAAGTTAATACCACTTGCTTTCTTTACATGGATATACAAATATATTTTTAATTACAACTATTGTATGGGTGGGGTATGCATATGTGAAAGCCAGAGGACAACTTGTTGGGGTCTATAGTCTTCTTCCATGTGGGCTCATGGGATTTAACTCAAATGTATTAAGTGCAACTGTTTAATTTACCTAGGTCACTTCCTGAATTTTATTCAAACAAAAATAAAGGTTTCGGGAAAACTGTTACTTAGATGTGATGCTCCAGGAACAAAAAGCAGTAAAGTACAAAATAGTGCTGAGGCCACCGTCCAGAGTTCTACCTTGCAAGAATTCTAGACTGGCTACACACAGTGCTCATAAGTGTAATAGGTGTTCCATTTGGCATAGCTTGTGGACCAGCAAAGCTAATTTTAGAAAGGTACTTGTCTAAAATTTACCAACAGAACTGAGATAGTCAAGTCTTCTGTTGGCTTCCAGACAACTTCAATAACTCAGTGGATCAAAATGAAAGTAAAGTTCACTTTGAAACTGTTCTAATAAGGGATTAATGACAAATCCAAGTGTCAATTTTTGGACTACAGAATGGGGTTCTAAGAGGTTTTCGAAGACTATACTATTAACTTGGCCTTGTTGTTGCTCTCGGTCTTCCTGGGCAGCAGCACTGCCTGGATGTTGGGCAGGACGCCGCCCTGAGCGATCGTCACGCGGTCTAGCAGCTTGTTGAGCTCCTCGTCGTTGCGGATGGCCAGCTGCAGGTGGCGCGGGATGATGCGCGTCTTCTTGTTGTCGCGGGCCGCGTTGCCAGCCACTTCCAGGATCTCAGTCGTCAGGTACTCCAGCACGGCCGCCAGGTACACCGGAGCGCCGGCGCCCACCCGCTCCGCGTAGTTGCCCTTGCGGAGAAGGCGGTGTACGCGGCCCACGGGGAATTGCAGGCCGGCCCGGGAACAGCGAGTCTTGTCCTTGGCGCGAGCCTTGCCGCCCCGCTTGTCCTGCTTAAGCGGAAGCGGAAGAGTACTTCAGTCATTACAGTTACATCGTGACGCTAAAAAAGAAGACGTGGCATTGGCTAAGACGCTACTTTCATGTTAACCAATGGAATAAAGGCTTGGAAACTGCATTCTGATTGGATAAAACTAACTTCTAACCAACCAATAATTACGTGTCCAGTCTTTCTCCTTATTTGCATATCTTTATCTATAAAAGGACAGCGTTCGTCTTAGGTTCTATCTTAACAACTTAGTGTTTAGGTAATTGATTACCTATAACCATGCCTGAGCCCACAAAGTCTGCTCCTGCCCCGAAGAAGGGCTCCAAGAAGGCCGTGACCAAGGCGCAGAAGAAGGACGGCAAGAAGCGCAAGCGCAGCCGCAAGGAGAGCTACTCCGTGTACGTGTACAAGGTGCTGAAGCAGGTACACCCCGACACCGGCATCTCCTCCAAGGCCATGGGCATCATGAACTCGTTCGTCAACGACATCTTCGAGCGCATCGCTGGAGAGGCCTCTCGCCTGGCGCATTACAACAAGCGCTCGACCATCACGTCCCGGGAGATCCAGACGGCTGTGCGCCTGCTGCTGCCCGGGGAGCTGGCCAAGCACGCCGTGTCCGAGGGCACTAAGGCCGTCACCAAGTACACCAGCTCCAAGTGAGCGCGCTGACCTCCCTCATAACCCAAAGGCTCTTTTCAGAGCCACCCAAACGTTTCTTTCGGAAGGGCTTCTACGCTATTAAGTATCCATATTAATAATTACAGTCTTATACCGTTTAATATTTTTCAAGGTTTTGTTTGGAGTCTATAATATTCCACGAGAAGCGTAGATGCTTACATTACATATGTTAGTCTTCACTTAGTATTGGAACTTTGAGCTGAGCTGTAGTAGCCCCAGGAATTTGGTTCCAGCTTTTTTTTTTGAGACTTGGTTAAAAGTTGGAGTCACAATCTGTTTTCTGAGTATAGGTACAAGTTTGCCCTGATTCAAGTGGCACCATAACTTGACTAGGTCTGACATCTAGATTTCATTTACATTTTTGTGCATCAGGTCTCTGGTTTTAATTTCACCCTAACCACCTGAATTTGCCTCAAATTTTTCATCTTCCTGCTTCATTTTGGGTAGCTGGGTTTAAATGCTTGTTTAACCAACCATGTTTGGCTTTACATGACCCTTGTTTTTTCCATGGCACTGCCAGGTAACCTTAGGTTGCTTGTTAGCTTTAAAATTGCCTTCTGTTGTTCCACTGCTTGCTTGATTTGATCTGATTTTTAACTATGCATATAAGAAGTTATTGTATGATGTTGGTGTTCCAAAATGGAATTTAGAGGAGAAAACCTCATTGGGTCTTAATGTCATTTCCATTTTTATATTAGTTTGGGGGGGGTTCTCCTTACAAGGTTTTTTTTTTGTTTGTTAATCATAAAATACTAGGCAAGGTAAAAGTTCATTCAAGTATAATATGAATTTCAAGGAAATTAAAATTATTTCTAAGTCCTCTCAGTAGGCTAGTAAGTGCCATAGAATGGTCACATAAAGAAAGGTAATTGCATATTGTCAGTTTGTGTTGTTTTGCTGTTGTAAACACCATGAACAAAAGCAACCTGAGGAGGCAAGGGTTTATTTGGCTTACAAGTCTTTTCTGATTTAGTCCATTACTGAAGAAAGTCAGGGTGGGAACTCAACCAGTAAGCAGCAGAAGCAGAAACCAGACTCTTATTCAGATGTTTTTCTCCTACCTCCCCAGACCACCCTACCCAGGGATGGCACTGCTCCCTGTAAGCTTAGCACAACCACATCAATCATTGGGAAAATTTCCCACAGAATTGTCTACAGGTCAAACTGATACAGTGTTTTCAGCTGAGGATCCCTCTTCCTTCGTAAGGCTCTAGCGTACGTGTCAAGTAGACAAAAACTAATCAGCACAAACATCAATGAAATATCAGTACACAGATGCTCAAAATGAACTTTAGCTATTGTATAGTAAGATCTTAATGTGCCTGTCTAATCAGTTTGTTTATTATCTTTAATCTCTAGTATGCTGTGGAACAAATTTTATTGTCTTCCTTCTTTTAAAGTTGAGGAAATTAAATGAGAATGGACTGCACTGAAGTTGCAACTTATATCCTGTCTTGTGTGAATGGAAAGACTGAGCTATGAACTATTCTCCAAAATAATTATGCAATCCCTGAAAAGAAAACATGTCATACCTCAAACTGTCAAATTTCAATAAAAATTCTTTTATTGAGCTGTTTACTCATTTTCTTTCTTTTTAAAGAGTGAGAGTTTTCTTTATAGCCAGACTTTCTTGGAATTCACAAGTGTTCCCTTCCCTAGCCTGCTGTGCTTTTAGGCATGTCCACTCGGTCCAGAAATCATGCATTTAGAGGTAAAATTTCAGCCTGAGTTCCTCTGAGGGTAAACATCCTCTGGCATTCATTACAGTCCAGAGGATCTCTGACAACTATAGTTCCCGTTTTGAATGAGTCAGTTCATTAAGTACATAGCAAGTCAAAAGCAAATAAACATAATAAATAGCAAAGCAGCAGATAGTAAAACCTTATCAAATGAGGTCTTGAAATATCCAGCAGCAATCAACTAAGAAAGCATGGCTGAGGCAGTCAGGAGGACTTCACGGAGTCCCTGGCAGAAGTGACTCTTCCTGTATGTAGCAACTGTAGACAGAATGCTATCAAATCACTTTCTCACAGCACAAAGCAGGAACCAATTGGGGAAGTTGCTGCCAACTGGAGTCTCCTATTGGGCTATTCCCCTCCATTGTCCAGCCAGTCTCTTCCCGCACTGAGTCAGGAGTCTGTTGAAGCAGGATCTCGATTTATTCCAACAGCAGGAACTTATATAGGACTGAAGTAGGGGATGGGAAACATAGGATAGGATATGGTGATGTGAGGAGTAAGGGCCAATAGTATTCCACCAAGCAGGCAGGTAGCTAGGCAGGGGGCATCAGGCCTTGCTGAGTCACCCCCACGTCGAGGTTACAGGCCACAGACAGGTCGCCAAACTAGCCAGATTCAGGAAGTTACATTGGGCCTCATATCTGAGCCCTTAATTCAGGATCAGGAGCCTACCCTGGGCCTACCATCCTAGCCTTTCTTCGGCTCAACAGTTCACAACTTTTCATGCTTAATAATTTCTAAAGTGACCCAGGAATTCAAGGGAAAGTACTGATTATACTTTCATCATGCTGAGATGGGTGTCAGGTGGTGAGGTCCTTCAACCGCATCGCAGCAGACCAAGCCTGCCCACAGAACATGTTGGCGGGGGGGGGGAGCTTACATCTATAGACTTTAGTGGGAGAGGGTCTCTGAGCTTCACAGATTATTAAATGTCCCAAATAAGATATATGGCCACAATTTAGAAAGGTCTGTTGTGGTGTACCCACCAGAGAAGATTATTCTGATGTGATTTAAGCCAATAGAAAGTAGAAAGTCTTTATTAGCCAGTCAACAACTACATTGGGTGTTCAGCATGCCAGTATAGCAAAGAGCCTTTCTCAGGGTGAGCTTTTAATCACAAAAATATATCCTGGGTTGCCTTATTTCAGTTCAGAGGAACAATTAGCCAGAAGCAGAACTATAGGAGCCAGAAGGCAAGGATTATATATTTAGAGAATTTGGGACATTGCTGGACTAGGTCTTTGTTTCTATTCTGGCAAGTGGTGCTGCCTATGTGCTAAGTTTTATGGCTTGAATGGTACTTCCATCATGGAGTCAGGTGTGCTAATGTCTAGGGACCTACTAATGTTCATTGTAGCTCATCCTCTTGCCACACCCTACTTTGGGGTTGTAATTACTAGGAGTTTAGCAGCTTAAAAGAAGAAACTAGGTAGAATGTTGTGCGGATTAAATACATCAGTGATTAATTCTGAGTTACTGATAATGCACTGGTGTTACATTAAGGAAAGAAATAAAAGCATTTCCCCTTGGGGGTCACTTAACCAAGAGCAAGTTGGAATTTGAATTCTCTGTCTACTTCATGCTCCCTGTGTCATTTGTCTGTTGTCTTAGTGCCTGCCTGTGTGAATGAGTATGAGTCTGAAACTGCCTAACTGAAGGCTGTTTTGTTAATCTGCCTCTGTGTGCCTGTCTGTTGTAAGAGCTGTGGTGTGTGAATGGTGTCTGTCTCTAACAAGGGGCTTCAGTCTGTATTTATTGAGCAGCATGGAAAGCATCATGTCGCCTTTACAGCATTGGTTTCAGCAAGTAGGTTGCAATCTCCTGGGGGGGTCACATATCAAGTATCTTGAATATCAGATACTTACATTGCAATTCAGAACAGTAGTAAACTTACAATTATGAAGTAGCAATGAAATAATTTTATGATTGGGGGTCACCTGAATGTATTAAGGGGGTGCAGTATAGGAAGGTTGAGAACCATTGTTTTACAGGAATCTTTAACAGAGTTTTACAAGGATTACATCACTGGCTACAGCTGATGGTAACTGAGACAGCAAATATTGCTTACAAAAACTAGTATCCATAATTGTCACTTTTAACATGTATGGTAGGTTTTAGTAAAATGCCTTCAACTTCTGTATTTGATACTTTCAGCAAATGATACAGAAGCCCCTGACCCAGACAATGCCTATGTAACTGAAGGTTGTAGCTATCCATTAGTTTAGATGGTGAAAGTTGGTTACATGGGAAATCCAAGACAAGGTTGAATGTTACATTATTCTCTTAAATGCAGGGTGAACAAACAGGCTAGGCTAACCCTATTAAAAGTGACTTCTAGGTGTATTATTATCGCTGCCAGGCACAACAAATATTCCAGTCTCTTAGAACCTAAGATATTTTCAAAATATTACATCATCACAGAAAATGTGGTGGCTATTTTCTGTTCCGTCAACACACCAGACTCTGTTTGGCTGTAATCCCCATTCTGAATTGTCCGTTGACAGAAAGCGCTCATGGGAAACAGATACCTGCGTTTTGGGGGACCTTAAAAAACTGAGTATCTCCAAGAACCCTGGAAAATGTCTTTGCTTTTTAACAAAACTAGAAAATATTAATGTGCATTATAAAGAGTTTATGCTGGGCGGTGGTGGCACACGCCTTTAATCCCAGCACTCGGGAGGCAGAGGCAGGCAGATCTCTGTTGAGTTCGAGGCTGGGCTGGACCGACAGCCTCCAAAACAAAACAGAGAAATCCTGTCTCGTAAAACCAAAAAAAAAAAAAAAAAAAAAAAAAGAGTTTGTATGCTATATGTGTTTAAGAGCAGGAGGCAATGGGGAAATGTGATAGGGTAAAGGATTGTAACCTCACAGGGCTTGGTTACTGCAACCTGATGGACTCAATGGATTGAGAGGGCAGAAGAACTAAGGAAGGGCTTTATTAACAACAAGTCAAATGCTGAGAGGTGGCAGGCTACAGCCTTTAAAGAGTATTTCTTTTCATTATTTTATTCTTTAGGTGGATGGGTACTTTGGCTACACATGTGTCTGTGCACCACGTGCGTGCCTTTTTCCCAGAGAGGCCAGAAAATACCATCAGTTCCCAGAGAACTATAGCTACAGACAGTTGTGAACAGCCATGTGGGTGGTGGTATGTTAGAAAAAAAATGAAGTAGAGAGGCAGACAGACTCAATCTCAACAGGCTGATGCTGCTTTATTGGGACAGGAGGGCCTCAGCCTTTGAGGAGAATGTTGGCTGCATTTTGAGAGACTGGGGGACAGGTGCATATAAATACATATTACATGGGTAGTTCCTAGGACGCTGCAGCTATTTTTGTGAGAGACTGAACTGGGAGTAAGGTGGGTTGTGTTTGATTCCCAGGGATATTGTTTCTGCAGATGGAGTAGAAGGGTCAGGCTAGGGTCAAGCAATTCTTTGTGGCTGGTAGAGCCTGACTCAATTCCTCATGACCTGAGACTATTACCCAGCACTGGGAACCAAACCTGGTGCTCTTAACCTCTCAGTCATTCAGTCCTGGCCTAGGCTCTAGCCTTTCTAAAAGCATTTTTGGCCTCTTGTCCTAAAATTCAATCTTTTACTTAATCAAAGGAAGGTCAGAGCATCCCAGACAGGTGGGTATAAAGTTCGTATCTTCAGAAATGTGGGCTATGTGACTCTTCTTTCATCGGAGATCATTGCAGTTCACTGACTGTAAATATTTCAACTGTCCATGTTCTGTACTAATTCAATCAACTGTATCTCAGTGTGTCTTGGCTCCCTTCCAGGTATGACTTTCTTCCAACCTGGGCTGGAAGGGTTAGAATGGGGGGGGGGGGGATTTGCATGTTGTGATGGCTATTCTAGGCTTGCAACTTGACTACATTGTGAATTAACTAAAATCCAAATAGCTGAGCACACCTGTGAGGAAATTTTTTTCTTATTAAATGTAAAGGACATGGAAGAAGGAAGAAGGACGCTTGCTTTTCGTTCTCACTGGCAAGTGCTGTAATTTAAAACAGGACAGACACCATGCCACAGAGCTTGGGTGGAGGGTTTTTTAAATTAGGGGAAGGTGAGTGAAAAAGGTGGGGAAGGAAGAGGAGAGGCCAGCCTCTGGGGACAGGAGTGGCAGAAGAGGAGAGAAAGGCAGGCGTGTGTGAGCAAAGAAGAGAGAGAAACAGAGAGGAGGAACATGGGAGGTGGGAGGGTCCCTTTTAAAGGGAACATAGTGAATGTGCCAAGGTGTTGCTCTTAGCGACTTCAGCTGAGGATGTATCCTGTCAGAACCCTAAGGAAAGGTCGGTACAGGTGCCTGAATTGTAACAGCAAGTCCATTCCTTCACTGTCATTGGAGTCTACTTCTTCAGGATTCCAGTGTATACTGAAGACCTGTCGCGTCAGCTGCGCGGCCTGTGTCCGAGAACGTGCGGAGGGTGTTGGGGATTGAGAAAACAGAGACTCGTTCAATGATGTGAAGAAAACTTTAAGCAGGCCCTAAAACGGTTCAAGAAAACTTCCTAAGAAAGGCTCCCTCCAGAGAAGCTTCTGCTCTCTCCTCTACCCTGGCTGGTTCTGCTCTGACACCAAAAACTGATCTGGGCGTGTCAGAAGAGGCGGTTAATCTTTGGACAAGGTCGAGGTCAGGGAGGTTTCCGTGGGCAGGCCTTTTCCAGGAACTTATTGCCCCTGGCATTGTATTGTTTTTAGTAAACATGTTTTTAGTAAACATTGTCTTACAGCTGCCTACTCCCAGGCCGAAGGGAAAGTGGGTCTCTACTCAAGGTCTGCTGTCCCCACAAAGACCAGCTGAAATATCCATTCTCATGAACTGA